AACCACCAATCATTTTTCTGTTTCTGCAGAATTTCCTATTCTGAACTTCCATATGAACAGAATCTGTAATATATCGCTTTTGTGTCTGGCTTCTTTCATTTAGCATAATGTTTTCAAGGTTTATTCACATTGTAGCATGCATCAGTGCCTCATTCCTTTTTATGGCTGCATAGTATCCTACTGTGTGGACATACCCTATTGATATATATTTAAGTTATTTCCAATCCTTTGCTAATACAACACTGTAAAGAATCTCCTTGAATACACATTTAGAATGTGAATGAGTACATTTGTACCATATACATTTCTAGAAATAGAATTGCTAGGTCAAAGTTTATGCATCAGTAATACTGATAGTTATTGCTGAGTTAAGCTATTCATATCCTGTCTTTTAAGTACTGTTTGAGGAAGGGAGATGAAATGGCATAATGGAAAATGCACTGAGTTTTGGACTTTGTTTCAAGAGAAGTTTAATATATTGTGGTTATTAAGGGCATGGGGCTTTGGAGGCACACTGCCTGTGTTAGAATCTTGGTTTTGCCACTTACACTCTAAATAACATTAAGTTAATCAACTGCTCTGCCTCAGTTTTTTCATCTGTAAATGGAGATAACATTAGAACCTTCTCCGGGGATCCATGAGACTATACATTTAACACTCTTAGAAGTGTCTGACACATAGAAAGTGCTCAGTAAATGTTAACTCTTCTTACTAGCTGGCTATGTGATCTTGGTTCATTGTCTTTTCCTATTTTTATTTTATTTTTCTGAGATGGAGTCTTGCTCTGTTGCCAGGCTGGAGTGCAGTAGTGCAATCTTGGCTCACTGCAATCTCCACCTCTTGGGTTGAAGCGATTCTCCTGCCTCAGCCTCCTGAGTAGCTGGGACTACAAGCTTGAGCCACCACGGCCACCTAATTTTTGTACTTTTAGTAGAGACGGGGTTTCACCCTGTTGGCCAGGATGGTCTTGATCTCTTGACCTTGTGATCCACCTGCCTCGGCCTCTCAAAGTTCTGGGATTACAGGCTTGAGCCACTGTGCCCGGCCTTATTATTATTATTATTATTATTATTATTGAGACAGAATCTCACTCTGTCACCCAGGCTGGAGTGCTTGGTGCAATCTTGGTTCACTGCAACCTCTGCCTCCCAGGTTCAAGTGATTCTCCTACCTTAGCCACCTGAGGGGATGATAGGTATGTGCCACCATGCCCAGCTAATTTTTGCATCTTTTTTTTTTTTTTTTGAGACAGAGTCTAGCTCTGTTGCCCAGGCTGGAGTGTACTGTTATGATCTCGGCTCACTGCAACCTCCACCTCCCAGGTTCAAGCAATTCTCCTGCCTCAGACTCCCGAGTAGCTGGGATTATAGGCATCCGTAGAAACATGGTTTCACTGCATTGGCCAGGCTGGTCTCGAACTCCTGACCGTGTGATCTGCCTGCCTTAGCCTCCAAAGTGCTGCAATTACAAGCGTTAGCCACTGTGCCCGGCCTTAATTTTTGTATTTTTAGTAGAGACAGGGTTTCACCATGTTGACCAGGCTGGTCTTGGACTCCTGACCTCAAGTGATCCACCTGTCTTGCCTCCCAAAGTTCTGGGATCACAGGTGTGAGCCACGGTGCCTGGTCTCTTTTCCTATTTTTAAACTGAGGACTTGAAATGGATTATTTTTATGTTTCCAAATTTTATTTTATTTTATTTTTTATTTTTTATTTATTTATTTATTTTTTGAGACGGAGTTTCACTCTTGTTACCCAGGCTGGAGTGCAATGGCGAGATCTCGGCTCACCGCAACCTCCGCCTCCTGGGTTCAGGCAATTCTCCTGCCTCAGCCTCCTGAGTAGCTGGGACTACAGGCACGCGCCACCATGCCCAGCTAATTTTTTGTATTTTTAGTAGAGACGGGGTTTCACCATGTTGACCAGGATGGTCTTGGACTCCTGACCTCAAGTGATCCACCTGTCTTGCCTCCCAAAGTTCTGGGATCACAGGTGTGAGCCACGGTGCCTGGTCTCTTTTCCTATTTTTAAACTGAGGACTTGAAATGGATTATTTTTATGTTTCCAAATTTTATTTTATTTTATTTTTTATTTTTTATTTATTTATTTATTTTTTGAGACGGAGTTTCACTCATGTTACCCAGGCTGGAGTGCAATGGCGCGATCTCGGCTCACCGCAACCTCCGCCTCCTGGGTTCAGGCAATTCTCCTGCCTCAGCCTCCTGAGTAGCTGGGACTACAGGCACACACCACCATGCCCAGCTAATGTTTTGTATTTTTAGTAGAGACGGGGTTTCACCATGTTGACCAGGATGGTCTTGATCTCTTGACCTCATGATCCACCCACCTCAGCCTCCCAAAGTGCTGGGATTACAGGCTTGAGCCACCGCGCCTGGCCCTGGGATTATTATTATTATTTTTAAACAGAGACAGAGTCTCACTATGTTGCAAAAGCTGGTCTTGAACTCCTAAGCTGAAGTGATCCTCCTGCTCCCAAAGTGCTGGGATTGCAGGTGTCAGCCACCACACCCAGCCAAATTTCTTTTAATAAATGTCAGTTGGAATGGGAAACAATTTTTATCCTCACAAAATTTAAGATTCAACCTCTGTGGAGGGCTAATGGTTCTGTCTAGCCTTAGTTTGAGGTGCTCTTTACTAACAACCTGTGGTTGCCTTATGCATAGCCTAGGAGCTTCCAAGTGCAGTTGGCCTTTTCTTGAGTGGATGAGTAGCGGTATTAGTATGCAATTAGGTTTTTTTTTTTTTTTTTTAAATAAAGACAGGTTCTCACTATATTGCCCAGGCTCATCATGAACTCCTGGGCTCAAGTGGGCTTCCTGCCTCCACCTCCCAAAGTGGGATTTTGACATGAGCCATAACACCTGGTCACAATTAGGCCTTATTTTTGAATTTGATAAAAATGAGCTTTTAGGTATGCCTTCAATGAATCAATAAAAAAGAAAGTTACCATTTGGGGACTGCAATATGAGTTTTTGAACTTCTGTACTGTCTTTTAAATCAAGTAAAGCCCCTCCCCCAATTAAAAAAATTACTTAATATAGCATTTCCCCCCTCAACCTACACCTCAGTTTTTCATTTAAGCATATTTTAAAATGTGTCTGTGTGTGTTTTGAGACAGTCTCAGCCCAGGCTGGAGTGCAATGGTGCAGTCTCAGCTCAGTGCAACCTCTGCCTCCTGGGTGCAAGCAATTCTTATGCCTCAGCCTCCCAAGTAGCTGGGATTACGGGCATGTGCTACCACGTCTGGGTAATTTTTGTATTTTTAGTAGAGATGGGGTTTTACTCTGTTGGCCAGGCTGGTCTCAAACCCCTGACCTTAGGTGATCTGCCTGATTTGACCTCCCAAAGTACTGGGGATTACAGGTGTGAGCCTGGCCTAAAACGTGTGTTTTTTTTTTCTTTTTTCTTCGTTTTTCTTTATGCCAGTTCTCTCCCATAAAATGTGTTTTTAAACTATTTACTAATAATGGATTTACCCTCACTTTTGTATGATTTACTAAATTGATTCCAATAGGTTGGGCAATTCATGATTAGTTTTTTTAATATCAGCTGTTAAACAGTGATGTTTATCAGTGGACAAAGAAATCCAACTTTGCTGTTGCCCTTGGGAATGCTCTTTAAGCATGGGGCTTTATTATGACGATAATTTGGTCAGTAAACTCCTTGGGAGATAGAGTTTGGAAGTAGAGATCTGGGTATTAAACCTGCTCCTGCTCCTTGGCAAACCTCAACAAAATGTCAGCTCTCTGTTGTTTCATCCATAAAGATGAATAAAAGTGCACAGCTGCTGTGAAAATTAAGTCTTAGAGAGGCAGGCAGTGTACAGTGCTTAAGAACTTACTGGAGGAGTTAAATAGACCTGAATTCAAATCTTGATTTTGTTACCGTAAATTTGTTCAATGTCTTGCAATGCTTAAATTGTGCGAACGATCTCCCTCATATCTGTTGCTGTGAGGATTAAATGGACATAATGCACGTAAATCACTTGTCCAGTCAGTGTGTAGCACATAGAAAGCACTAATATTGGCTGTATTCACGATAACCCATGATAGTTAATACTGACAAGTTATGCACCAAGAACATACCTTGCCATTCTTTTCAAATATAAAAAAAACCGTATTTTTCTTATATTGACAAGGTAGAAACTACTGTGTAAAGGGCTCTTCACTTAACTATCAAGTTGTTGCCTTTATGGAAGGGCGACCACCTGCTTTACAATTTTTAATGTTATCGTAAAAGTTTATTTTTTCTTTGCTATACATTTACTATAGGAAAACAGGGGGAGGGGACCAAATGGAAAAGTACTTAAATAATGTTAAGAGCTAACAGCCTCCTCCTCTCAAACTGAGAACCAAATCCTGTTAACACTAGGTTGTGAAGTCCCATCAGAGTATCTCAGGTATAGAGTCTTTGATGGAGCTGTGACATACCGAGCTGTGACTCTGGGTCACACCCTTTGAGATAAAGAGAAGGCCTGGGGCGAGTAATGTATCATAAAGATTCAAGATCTGGTGAGAGCAGCAGGTCGCAGAGGCCGCGGAGGTTTTCAGGCTATTTTGGCGTAGCCCATTCTCTTATCTCCTTTCTAGGTCTTTGTACACATGCAAATCGTTCACAAAACCGAGATCGTCCTGAATCCACTGCTCTGTAGCCCGTTTGGACCGAGACAGCTCGTGCGCGGAGGGGTAAGGATCTGGTCCACAAACGGGCGACGCCTGTGCTCCGAGGATGAGGCCAAGCCCTTCTCCCTCGCCTGCAGCGCGGGCCCAGTGCGGCCCGGGAACTCGCGTTATCGCCACAGAGCCCACGCATTCCACAGGCCGTTGCCGCGGCGTCGAAGCCCTCGTCAAGCGTTGCGGTCGCCCCTTTTGGCGGGCTCGGGAGCCCCAAACCCCGCCCCCCGGCGCGGTATATCCGCACTCGCGGAGGCGGGTGCCGCGCTCCCATTGGTGGAAAGGCCCACGGTAGCCCCGCCCCCTTTCGGCCCCGACGCGGGCACGTTGAGTGGCGGGGGAAGGCAGAAGAACTGCCCCAGCGAGGAGCGGCTCCGAGGACCGGGCAGCACGGTTGGGGTGCCCGCTTCGGAGCCCCCAAAAGGCTGCAGTGTCGGGAGCGCAGCCCGAGGCCACGGGGGGAAGGGGGTGGGTGGGCTGAGAGCAGCTCTGCGGCGAGACTGGCCCGCCGCCCCTTCCCCCCACATTCGTCGACCTTGTGGGCAGAAGCTTCCCGGAGCTCCTCACGCCGGCGGGATGGCGACTGCTCTGGAGACTGAGGCCTCTCCGCCGACGGACTCGAGCTGGGAAAGTGGCGGCCGCGGAGACGACGAGATGAAGCAGGCGCTTCCGGAGCTTGAGTCCTCCCCACAAAATGGCGGCGGCGGCGGCCTCAGCATCGCGGAACCTGGCGGCGGCGCTGGGCCTGAGGAGACCGCGGGGGCCGAGGCCGCTCAGAGCCTCAGCCACGAGCAGCCTCAGGAATCCTCTGTGGCGGGCGCGGCCGCCCTGCCCAGAGGCCCCGAAGAGCCCGAAAGGCCTGTTAGGAGGAGTTTTCAGATCCCCAGGAAGAGCAGAGAAAAGAAAGGTGGTGCCTCCCCTTCTCCTCAACCCCTCTCTCTCTCTCTCTGTCTCTCTTTCTCTCTCCCCCTCCCACTTCCATCTTTTCATTAGAACCTTTCTATGTCCTCTTCCCACACCCATCCGAGACACGTAAACACGCATGCAGCGCCGGCCGCCTCTCCCCTCACTGCCACGGCCGCCCAGCTGCCGCGCTTGGTGCAAGAGAAGGCGGAGGAACCACGCTCCCCTGCTCCCCCTCCCCGTGGAAGTTGGAAGTAGCTCAGGTTTGAAGCCTGTCCGTAAGGCTGCACTCCCAGAGAGGAAAGATGGTGCTCGGCGCCCCTCCCTCCCAATCCCCGAAGGCAGAGAAACCGTTGTGTCCTAAGGATGCTTCTGAGAAGTCTCGCTATGGAAATAGCCCTTGGCCATGGATTCTGGGGCTTTCTCCGAGGCCATTGCCTTTTGAGGACCACAAGTGCTTCTCCCCGTGGAAATTCTTCAGCTGTGTGTGTCTACTTGAAATGTGCTTGATGTCAGCGTCCTCCCTTATTTAGAAATCTTCATTAGTAGATGTGATCCATGCACACTGCTATTTTCCATCACACTTCATTTCCATGTAGATTTTTCCCCCTTGTTATTGAAGCGTTAGATTAAATAGATCTCTCTTTTTAAGTCCGAACTTAATATGGTTTTTCTTATATTTGAAAAGAATGGCAAGGTAGGTTCTTGGTGCAGTAATTTCCCAATGGAAAACTAATGAGAAGTTACCTTATCCCCAAGAGTCACCAAGTTGGTCTTCTAGATGGTAGAACTTCAGATTTAAAAAAAGTACACTCTTAGTTTTTGGAACCCATGTGGGAACAATTACATTAATTATATGTACTTTTAAAAAATCTTAATGCCATATTAATATGGAGTCAAAATTTCTAATGAAGATCAAATTAGTATCGTTTTTTGTTACTGGGGTATTATTTTTTAACTGTCCAGTAAATTTTGGATATTCTGGATTTAGACTACCTTTTTGCCCTACTGTGTGGTTAGGTTTTTCATTATTTACTTTGGAAAATAATAGGATTTTTTTCCCCCTACGGAAAGCTTTTTCATTTCTTGATTATAGAATCTTGGCTGTGGCATTATACTGACTTTCTATAAGCATAACCAGTTCCACTTGCACTACTGGAATTGTTTGAGCCTTTTATCGGAAAGTTACAAATAAAGTTCATTTCTGTTTGGATGACAAAGCCAAGAAAATACTTGGTGTGAGAAACCATGTTGACAAAGATGAAGTTAACCTTTGGAAGTTAGCATGAGGACTGTTTCTAGAAATATCTTTTGAGTTAATATGGGGTTCAGAAAGATACTTTTAAAGGTCAAGACTGTCAGTTCTTTTGGTGTATTAAGATTTGAGATGTATGATTATAGTCTGTATGAGAGAAGTTAAGTTCCCAGCATAAATTATCAATTGGTAGAGAATAGGTTGGAAGCACATTTAAATGGGCTCTGGTTATGAGGTAGGAGGTCGAACTATTTTTTTGTTCACAGCGCAATAAAAGCCGTTTGAAGTTTTTTTTTTTTCTTTAAAGTTTTAAGTGCCTAAGAATATGGACAAACCATGATACACTTTTTTTCTGTATGTTAGTACCAGAAAATTGGCCAAGAAATCCTTAAAATTTGGTTTGAAATGTGGGAAGGCAGTAGGAACTGGAAAGGCATTGTGTGTGTGTGTGTTTTTTTTTTTTTCGTTAGATAAATCCAGAGATTGCTGTAAAATAGACTTGAGATGAACACACTAAACGTGGAAATAATTGAGAGATTAGGAAATATAAACCTAGCTTTTTCCCCCCATAGTCTTGTACCTCTTGGGTAAAACTTGTATTTTCCGTTTTTACTTAGAGACAAAAGTTGTGAATAGGGAAAATATATCACAGTAGACTTTTTCATGTTTAGTGAAAATGAGCAATTTTTAACTTGTGTAAATATTTATGCCCTGATCACCAGCTGTTCAAATAGTAAAGTAGCGACTTAAATAGAACCTTAAAAAATTAAATAAGCAGCTATTTTACCACTATGAATTTTATCCTGTTCAAGCTGAGAGGAGTTAGTGCTTGGTAGAATTTAATACATAAATTCAACTTTATTTTTAAAAAATTACATCATAAACTAATAATGAAGCTGCAAGTTTCACTCTTCACCCCAACATCTTCTCTTGGAAGGCTCTAAAGGTAAAGGTATCACTTTGTATAGAATTTGGCTAGGTTTTTTTTTTTTTTTTTTTTTTAAAAAAAGACAGGGTTTCACCATGTTGGTCAGGCTGGTCATGAACTCCCGATCTCAGGCGATCCGCCCGCCTTGGCCTCCAAAGTGCTTGGATTACAGGCGTGAGCCACCGCGCCGGGCCGAGGATTTGGCTAGGTTTTATTAGTTGTGGTCATCTAAGTCTTTTTATCATGAATATTAGATGGTTTTCAATAGGTATGTCTGCTTGAACTTTTCAGTATCAAGGTTCTGTTGCATTCATATTTTAATATGGCAGACCTTGTGACTGCTTTTCCCATGAAATTCAAGATTAGGACTTGACTGCTTTAATGCCTTAAAGGTCACTACTATACAATTATAACTTGTTGACTCAGTTCCTTTTTTGGGCTTGTCAATAGTATGACATCCAAAATAACTGCAATTGTAATTTAGTAATAATATTGGCAAACACTTGTATAGTACCTAATAAGTTGTGGGCATTGTTCTAAGCAGTTTATATACATTGACTAAATCTCAGCAGTGTTTTGTGGTAGGTACTATTCCCATTTTACAGATGAGGAGGCTAAAGTACTGAGAAGTTAGGTAACTTGCCCAAGGTCACACAGCTAATAAGTGGTGGAGTTGGAATTTGAAGATAGGTGTGGAGTACTTCTTACCTCTGTTCAAACTGGGTAGCAAGATTTTTGTTTTTTTTTGTAACCTAAGGATTTAAGTTAGCTGCTTTTGACCTGAACCGTTTGTAACAAAAACTGTCTCCCCCCACCATTAAATATAGAAATATTTAGTACATTTTCATCCTTGGGGAATTTTGACATTCAGAAATTTTGTTCACTATCGACATTTGATTGGTGCTGATAGATTGACTATCTGGAAAGGTATAAATTTTTACTGTTTTTGATGTATGTTGTATTATTTATTGGCTGAGGCATGATTTTTTTTGAGGCAGCCTCACCCTGTCACCCAGGCTGGAGTGCACTGGCACAATCTCGGCACTCTGCAACCTCCGTCTCTTGGGTTCAAACGTTTCTCCTGTCTCAGCCTCCCAAGTAGCTGGGATTACAGGCGCCCGCCACCATGCCCAGCTTTTTTTGGTATTTTTAGTAGAGACGGGGTTTCACCATGTTGGCCAGCCTGGTCTTTTCATGAGAAAAGCAGTCACAAGAAAAGGTCTACCATATTAAAATATGAATGCAACAGAACCTTTGATACTGAAAAGTTTAACCATGTTGGCCAGCCTGGTCTTGAACTCCTGACCTTGTGATATGCCTGCTGGCCTCCCAAACTGCTGGGATTACAGGTGTGAGCCACCGCACCTGACCAATTCTTACATTTAACCAAATTGTAGAATTGCATTTTGTTGGTAGATGTTTCACTGTTGCTTTGTTTAAATCTAGTAAGTCATCAAAAGTAAATTGGTAATTGCGTTTGATGTAATTTTTCCCTCCAAAGTTCTTGGGAAATGGAGTAGTTATGATTCACTTTCTGGAAAATGTTTAATGTTTTTGTAGCGTACAAGGGAGTCTCAAAAATTAGTTGCTCTCATACAGTAAGTTTCCAAACTAGTTTAGTCCAGAAGTAATTACTAATTTTCCTAACCTCCATCTTCCCCAACAAAATTTGCACTTATCTTTTTGAAGCTATTGGAGCCAAGTCTCATTCTTAAGGAAATATCCGTTGTATTTCATTAGTTGTGTATAGATGAGTGGGTTCTGAGAACAATAGATCTCTCTGTACATAATAGCAAAGCAATGGAGGTAAAATTTACTTTGTCCTATCCTCAGTCCAAAGATCATTGTTTCATATTTGTACGCTCTTGATTCCTGCCAGCATATTCATTCTTAACTATGCATTATGTTCAGCCTTGTTGATTTAGCAATGAAGCACCCATTCCTATTGTCTGTGCTAATCTTTTTTAGACTGAAGAAAAGTGGTTTTTAAAAAAGATCTTAACTGTGAAGAACAAATGGATGGAGAGTGGTTGTATTATAATCATTAATACCAGTAGACATCAGCTATGAATTCAGAGAGAATTTCAGATCCCCAGCTGCTTCTTGATAATTATTTCGTCGTCTTCCATGAATTAGTTACTTTAAATCAGACAGCTGTTTATTTAGACTTTATATTACCCATTTGTGGTTTTTTTTTTTTTTTTTTTTTTTTTTTTTTTTTTTTTTTTTTTTTTTTTTTTTTTTTTTTTTTCGGAGTCTTACTCTGTCGCTCAGGCTAGAGTGCAGTGTTGTAATCCCTGCTCACTGCAATCTCTGCGTCCTGGGTTCAAAGCCTTCTCCTTCCTCAGCCTCTCCTGAGTAGCTTGGATTACAGGTGTCCGTCACCACTCGCAGCTAATTTTTGTATTCTCAGTAGAGATAGGGTTTCACTATGTTGGTCATGCTGGAACTCCTGACCTCAAGTGATCTGCCCACCTTGGCCTCCCAAAGTGTCGGGTTTATAGACGTGAGCCCGTGTGCTCAGCCCCATTTGTATGTTTTGATAGGAGTGGTCCATCTTTTAGGTTTAGCTTGTGTGTGTGTATATACATAGATACACAGAAGTTACGTATTTTTGATATTTTTTGCAATACATAAATACAAAAATATCTGCGTTAAAAGTAAACAAATTGGTAAAACTAATTGACGAAGATGTTCCTTTTTTTTTCTGGAGTGCAGTGGTGGGATTTTGGCTCACTGCAACTTCCCCCTCTTGGGTTCAAGTGATCCTCCTGCGTTAGCCTCCTGAGTAGCTGCAAATACAGACACGTGCCACCACATTTTATATTTTTTTAAGTAGAGACGGGAGTTTCTCTGTTGGCTAGGATGGTCTTGATCTCTTGACCTCATGATCTGCCTGCCTTGGCCTCCCAAAGTGCTGGGATTACAGGTGTGAGCCACCGTGCCTGGTGAAGATGTTCTTTTGCTTAAGAAACAAAGCTACTGCTTGATTACTTAAATTGTATCTCTGCCTACTGCCTAAATACGACCTTCAAATCTTGAGTATGTTTTGTATAATCTAATAAAAAATATTTGATGATAGTATGGCTAAGAGTCAGGAAATGTGAATTCTAGTTGCTATTCTATGGTACTGTCAGTTTCTTCATTTGAATTATAAATCTCCAAGTGCCCTTCTAAATCTGTGTTTCTCAGTCTTGTAAAATGCATCTATAAATAACTTGTCAATAGGGAAACCTTGTATGATTAGTAGTCAGCTCAGCTGTTTTTCTGACAGGCATTTAATGGAAATTTATTAAATAAGCAAAATTACACATTAATGTATGAAAGAACTTTTGCTACTGTTAACCTTTTTTTAAAAAAGAGGTTGTTAAGACTCTTGGCCCTAGTATCTCTGCAGGAAAATTAAAATCAGAAAAAATTAAGATTTGGGAGAAGACATTAGAGGGTATAGAAAGAGCAGTCTTAGAACCAAATTCTTTTTTTTCTTTTTTTTTGAGGCAGAATCTCTGTTGCCTAAGCTGGAGTATAGTGGCATGATCTCGGCTCACTGCAACCTCTGGTTCAAGCGATTCTCCTGCCTCAGCCTCCCGAGTAGCTGGGACTATAGGCCTGTGCTACCATGCCCAGCGAATTTTTGTATTTTGAGTAGAGACTGGGCTTCACCATGTTGGCCAGCATGGTCTTGATCTCCTGACCTTGTGATCTGTCTGTCTTGGCCTCCCAAAGTGCTGGGATTGTAGGCGTGTGAGCTACTGCGCCTGGCCTCTTTGTTCTTTTATAGCTAACTTCCTGTGCCTAAGTTTTTTTTTTTTTTTTTTTTTTCCCCAGAAGAGACGAGGGTCTTGCTATTTGCCCAGGCTGGAGTGCAGTGGCTATTCACAGGTGTGATCCCACTACTGATCATGGGAGTTTTGACCTGCTCCGTTTCCAACCTGGGCCGCTTCACCCCTCCTTGTGCCTAAGTTTTCTATATGATTTCTAGTTTATAAAATGAGGAAGCAGTGATTTTTTTTACAGCTCGACGTGATTGGACATTGTACATCTTATACACACCCACATCTTATATTTCAGGATATGAGATAGGGAGCCTGATCGCTTGAATTTAAATCCCAGCAGCTTGATTCATTGATTAACCCTGCAACCTTGGACCAACTCAACTGCCACTTGTTTCACTTGCAGTTGAGAAATGGGCATATTGAACTTCATAGGGTCGTTTGGGTGATTGAGATGATACGTGTAAAGCTCTTAGTACAGTATTGAAGGTGGTACTTAACCACTAATGGTTACACGATAACTGTCAGAGTCTAGAGAACAGTGTGTTGAATACTGAGTCCCTTAGTGAAATGGATGATTCATGAATGTAATGCTTTCCCTATTTGGATACACACAGGGTTGTTTTATTATTACTACCTCAAATAGTGACCCATAATTAAGATTTTTTACTTATGTTTTCTTTAAAAGGAGTGACAGGATACACTGATCAAGATGCGTGTAATGTTAAGCGACCTCTGAGGACATAAAATAGACTACCAGAGAATGTACATTGAGAACAGGAACTTAAGTTTTCCAGCAAGTTGACTTGAAATCCTTAAAAATCATTATAGCATAATTTTATTATTGTAGAAATTATCACCAGAAAAAGTGAGAAATTATAACTGGCCTAACTAATGAAGCCACTGAGGCATTTGCAGTACAAAGTTATTAGGACACAGATATTTGTTGTTACAACTCAAATGCGTTTTCATTTGCAGGAAGTTTTCCTACTAGCTGTCGTCTTTAGTACATTGGATATCACTCTTGGACATTGCTTTAGAGTGAACTGGAAATGTTAAGTACTTTGAGAATAATTTGTATGTGAACTTTTATGCAGATTTATGATTTGAGTAATTTCTTACTTTAGATTAATGGCAGAAATTGTGTTGGGGTAGCTTAACTAATGAAAATTTCTCTTATGTAGACTACAATTTCATAGAAATTGGAAGCCATGTGATACATTTTTTGTGTACATTTTAGATACCTGAAGTCATTTTGTTAGTTTAGAAACAAAATTGTGTGTAAAACTCAAGTTTTAAAATCATGCTTGGCCCACTTTGAATGTGAAAGCCTATAAAGACCTCCACATGCTGCTTTCTTTGCTAAGTTCTTCACAATTTAATTGGGGACAATTATCATAAAGATAAGATGTTTTTGTCCTACATTCTGTAACACAGGTTTGAATTAAGACAACGTATGTCTCCTACCCTCTTTTCTGAGCTTTCATTTGTGTTTTGTATGTTACTGAATTGTTGAATTTGTGAATGAGTCTTAATTTTAAATAGCAATCATTTAGTAGTAGAATATATTTGTTAATTTTTTTTTTAAGGACGGGGTTTCACCATGTCGATCAGGCTGGTCTTGAACTTTCCGACCTCAGGTGATCCACCCGCCTCCGCCTCCCAGAGTGCTAGGATTACAGGCGTGAGCCACTGCACCCAGCCTATTTGTTACTATTTTTAAAGCTCTTGACAGAGTTTCTCATTTTCTTCACTCAACTGTTCAATATTTTTGTTGTTGTTGTTGTTGTTTTTGTAGCTGTTCAATATTTTTAGGGCTAGCACTCACAGGGCTAGCTACTGGGATATGGGAAAGATGAGTGATGAACAAGACAGATACAGTTTCTGTCTCATGGAGCTTATAATCGATAGGTTACTGAATTATATTCATCTGCTACAAGTTTAATTATAGGGCACTTTGTGTTGTGTAGTCTTATTCTATTTGAGTACTTGTTTGAGGTTACTTCTGTTTATTTTTTTATTGCATAACTGTAGGTATGTTGACTATTTTTTTTAGTGTACAGTTCCAAAGTAGTGGTAACCATTTGTTTGTACACACTGTGCCATTGAAAACTACATTTTGACAGATACTTGTGTAATATATACATGGTTTGGTAAATGAATGGATGAATGGGTCTGTCATTTGACATGTTCTTTAAAGTCTAATAAGCATGTATAGAAAAGACAAGTTGGCTGCATCTGTTACCTTTAGGAGTATGTACAAGTGGAACATTATGTTTGCAGTAGTGAGCTATTTTGACTGACATTTGTTGACCCTTACTAAGCAGTGTCTTGAAAGAAATTAAGGTAATAGAGAATAACATAGTTTCTTTTTTAATTTTTTTTTTAAATTAAAAAAATTTTTTTTTGAGACGGGGTTTCACCATGTTGGTCAGGCTGGTCTTGAACTCCTGACCTCAGGTGATCTGCCCGCCTTGGCCTCCAAAGTGCTTGGATTACAGGCATGAGCCACCACGCCCAGCCAAGAATAACATAGTTTCTATAAGTACTTCTCTCTACAATGAAAAGTGGTTCCTTTTTGATTTGGGGAAATATGTATATGTATAGTCTTTAAGGCGTATTAATAAATTAAAATATTTTGTGCGTAAGGTGTAAATTTGAGGTTACTAGACCAGTAATCCAAAAGAACAAATTGGATATTTGACTTAAATATTTTAAAAATTAAGTGGGGGCTGGGCGCAATGGCTTACTCCTGTAATCCCAGCACTTTGGGAGGCCAAGGCAGGTGGATTACCTGAGGTCAGGAGTTCGAGACCAGCCTGGCCAACATGGTGAAACTCTGTATCTACTAAAAATATAAAAATTAGCTGGATGTGCTGGCAGGCTCCTATAAGCCCAGCTACTCGAGAGGCTGAGGCAGGATAATTGCTTCAACCTGGGCGACAAGAGTGAAACTCTGAAAAAAAAAAAAAAGTGGGATGTGGAATGGTTGGGTATGTGGAGGATAAAAAGTTACTGTCTTAAACGATGCATTGGATGCTATGCTTAGAGCCTTTTCCATGTTTTGTCTCATGTATGGCATGTGGCATATAGTGGTCATTAGGGTAGCTGGAGTTTGCCATTTTACATTTGAGAGAACTGAGCTATATAAGTAATTAATTTACCCAGCATCTTACTCCAAGCCAGTAATGCTAGGTCTGGTATTTGTGTCGAGGTTTGACCCCAAAGTTCCAGATGTTTCCATTTTACTAAGTTGTTATAATAAATGTTCTACCTTTTGTGGATTATACAACAAGCCATGTGGGTGCAGCATTTTATTTTTTATTTTTATTTTTGTTTTTTGAAACACGGTCACACTCTGTTTCCCAGGCTGGAGTGCGGTAGTATGAACATGGCTCACTGTAGCCTTGAGCTTCTGGGCTCAAGAGATCCTCATGCCTCAGCTTCCCAAGTAGTTGGGACTACAGGCATGCACCACCATGCTTAGCTAGTTTTTCTTTTTTCTTTTTTTTTTTTTTGAGACGGAGTTTCGCTCTCGTTACCCAGGCTGGAGTGCAGTGGC